GTTTCACAGCTTGCCTTAGGCTTTCCTTAGGTTTTCGATGGGGAATCGGACTTGAACTGATGGGAAAAAGGGGCCTCGTTCCTTATTTAGCGTTCCTTAGGTCAACGCCCCCACTGTACTTGCCCTGGCGCAGCGCACGTTCGTCCTGATTGTGGCAGCAGCCTCACGGATGGAGGGATGTTTTTTTTTCAACGCGTGGGCCTCGCTGCAGCGCCGCTCACAATCCTCTCAGGAGTTTGCAGCCGTTTTCAAGATTCTCATTGGCAACGTCCTAGGGCGACTTGGAGCGATGTCGGAATGTCAGGGCGCAGCAGTCTCGTTGATTCGCGGTGTTGATGTCCCAGGAACGGTGTTCTGGCGCGGTTCAAGATCGTCAAGATACAACAGTAACGGGGATTTGCGGCGTTGGTGTCCCAGGAATGGTGTTCTCGTACAGTTCCCGATGTTCCAGCGGTTGTTTTCTAACGGGGCACTTCCCTCAGAGAAAAATATACGTGTAGAGGCCTATGAAGGGGGAACTTGGAGGGATGGTGTATCACAATGCCGTTGATGAGGCTTGCTCCCTGGGATAATCACACTATAACCAGAAACTCTGCCATTGAAGTCGGTAGTGTTCGCTGCGTGCCTTCAGTTTCAGGGATGCTAGACGTTGGTGGTGACACGCATCCAGCACTAAAACTCGGGCCGAGGGGCTCCGCTGTTGCATCGTTCTCTTACTCTTTGCACGCTGTGCTGGTGACTCGCAGCCAGCCCTGGAACTCGGGCCGAGGGGTCCGCCTGTGTATTGCAACACTCTGTTCGTCCTTCGGCCCCTGTCCAGGTGTAGGATGACCCCGTGTGCCTGTGAGGGGCCACCCTGCCGTGGGTCTCTGGCTCGGGTCTCGCCATCGGGGCCAGGACACACACTCGGCCAGTCTCAGCGTACGTAGCCTGTCTCGGACTGCGCCTTTTGCTGGCCTCCAGGGGCTGCTGGCTCGTCCGTTGGCCGTTGCGTTTTGTCTTTCTCGCCCCCTGGGCTTCCGCGGGTTGGGGTGAGCCACGTGCCCGCCCGCACTGGCGAGGCCGCTTCGAGCGCCCATCTCCTTTTTCCTTCCGTCGTTTCCTGGGCTTCGATCGGGCACCTCCCTGGATGGGGCCGCCTGTCACCAGGGTGTTCCCGTCCACGCGGTGACGCCCGGCTGCCGCGGGGAGCTGCGCGTCGCCCCCTGCAGCTTCACGCGCTGCTGCCTGCAGGAGCCTCCCCCTTTTCGGGGCGGCGGCTGCTTTCCCTCGCAGCCGCCGCTGTGCACGCAGAGGTGTAGCCCCCCCCCCTGCTGGCCGACAAGAAGCCTCCTCCCCTTCCTTTTCGGGAGTCGCCCTTTCAGACTGGAAGCGCGCTGATAATATTAGCATGGCCGTGCGCAAGGGTGACGCGCTCAGATCCGGAAGCGTTTGCAAGTTTAGAGTTTCGTGCCCCCCTCCTCCTCCTCCTCCTCCTCCTCCTCCTCCTCCTCCTCCTCCTTCTCCTCCTCCTCCCCCTCCTCCTCCTAATCCTCCTCCTCCTCCTCCTCCTCCTCCTCCTCCTCTTCCAACTCCTCGTCCAACTCCTCGTCGTCCTCCTCCCTTTTGCCAACAGTTACAGGATGTGAAGACTATTCCAATCTCTCTCTCTCTCTATCGCTCTCTCTCTCTCTCTCTCTCTTCCTCTCTCTCCCGGAGACGGCTGGGGAGTAGCCGCCCCCTCTTCGCGCGCGGTATTTTGCACAAGGTTTACAAGATTGGCCCCTCCTCGCTCCTAGTCATCTTGTGGTGTTGGGTCCTCGTTTTGAAGGGACAGCGCCCTGCGTCCTCCTCTCCTCCTCCTCCCCCTATCTCTCTCCCACCTCTCCTCCCCCCTCCCTCCTCTCCTCTCCTCCCTCCTCCCTCCTCCTCCCTCCTCCCTCCTCCCTCCCTCTTCTTCCCTCCTCCTCCTCCTCCTCCTCCTCCTCCTCCTCTCCTCCTCCTCCTCCTCCTCCTCCTCCTCCTCCTCCTCCTCCTCCTCTCCCTCCTCCTCCCTCCTCCCTCCTCCTGCTGTTCCTCCTCCCTCCTCACATCCCTGCCCCTGCCGTCCGCATGCGCTTTTCGGCGCACCCCTCACACTACAGGGAACGCCCGCATGGTGCCACCGCCCCATTTTGGAACAACCATCACGCGCTTCGTGGCCCCATTGGGAGCTCCACCGAGGGCACTCGTGGCAGCGCCCGCATGGCGCCACCGCCCCATTTTCGCACAACCCTCACACGTTTCGTGGCCCCATGAGGGAGTTCAACCGAAGGCCCACGTGGCAGCGTCGCGATGGCGCCACCGCACCAGTTTGGCACGCCCCCCACGCGCTCCAGGGCCTCATAGGGAGCTCCACCGAAGGCCCAAATGGCAGCGCCCGCATGGTGCCGCCGCTTCAGCGTCGGCACATCCCTGACACGTTTCATGGCCCCACGAAGAGCTCCACCGCATGCCTAAATGGCTGCGCCCGCATGGCGTCATCGCCCCATTCTCGCACAACCCTCACACGTTTCGCGGCCCCACAGGGAGCTCCTCCGAAGGCCAACATGGCAGCGTCCGCATGGCGCCACCGCCCCATGTTGGCTCACCACGCTGCGTGGCCCCATTGGGAGCTCCACCGAAGGCCCAATTGACAGCGCCCGCATAGCACCAACGCCCTATTTTGGCAGACGCCTCACACGCGTCGTGGCCCCATGGGGAGCTCCACCGAATGCTCAAATTGCAGCGCCGGCATGGCGCCACCACCCCCATGTTGGCATACACAAGCACACCTCACACGCCCCGTGGCCCCATAGGGAGCTCCACGGAATGCCCAGAAGGCATGGCAGCGTCCGCATGGCGCCACCGTCCCGTTCTGGCACACGCTTCACACGTTTCGTGGCCCCATGGGGAGCTCCATTGAAGGCCCTAGCGGCCGCGCTCGGACGGCGCCGTCGCTTCAATGCCGGCATGCCCCTCACGCGGTTCACAGCCCCGTAGGGAGTTCCAAGACGACCAGAATGGCAGCGCCCGTCAGGCCGCGCACCGCCCGGTGCGGTCACCCCATCGCTCGTTTCGTGGCCCCACAGGGTGTCCCTCCTTTCTTCCCAGCTGCTCTGCGGCAGTCACGCCTGCATGTGGATGGATCCTTCGCCGTGTGTGCTCGATCGGAGCGTCCCCGGTGTCTCAGAATGGTGCTGCCGCTGCAGCTTTGGCCTCCTCATAGGATCGGCGCTCTGCTCCTGTCGTTCAGAAGGGCGCTCTCGCCCAAGCGCGGGCCATTGATTACTAGATCCGAGTCTTTCCTCATCGTTGTCGCCCCCCTCCGTTCCCCTCCTTTGCCTTCCCTGGGTCCTCTTGCTCCTCCTCCTCCCCCTCAGTCTACTCCAGCTCCTGCTGTTGCTGTTCGTTCTCGTTGCCCTCCTTCCTTCCTTCCTCATTATCCTCCTTTCTCTGCGCTCGTCCTCCTGATGATCCGCCACTTCCTCCTCCAGTGTACGCAGCTCGTCTCTTTCAGTTAGGCGCAACACGATGGGATCCTCTTTGGAATTCCAGGTCCGCTATGACATGCGTCCACGGATCGACAAGACATCAGCGCAATGAGAAAATATGGGTGGGATGGGTAGGATGTCAGTCATGGCGCGAACGCAACTGGCTTGTCCTCCTCCTCCTCCTCCTCCTCCTCCTCCTCTCCTCACTCCTTCCTTCCTTCCTTCCTTCCTTCCTTCCTTCCTTCCTTCCATCATTCCTTCCTTCCTTCCTGCTTTCATCCCTTCTCCTCCTCCTCCCCCTCCTCCTCTCTCCTTCCTCGTTCCCTCTCCTCCCTCTTCTGCGAATGGCGCAGAAGTGTTCCCGAAACCTTGGCTCCCGAGACGATGCAACTTTGGGGGGGGCAGCCCCGTATCAGTTTCGCGTGCTGACTGCCAACTCTCAACGTGATCAGCCAGCGGTGGAGTCAGATGCGCAAGCCAACAGATCACTCTCCTCCCTTCTCCTGAGGGGGAGGGAGGAGAGGGATCTGTTGGAGGTGGAGGGGCCCCTCTCACCTCTTGGAGCCTGTTGTCTAAAGGTCTGGATGATAGCGGCCGCGATCGGCCCTCTCCCTCCCCACCCCCGGATGTCCCAAGGATCGTTCGAGGATTCCTCAGGGAGGAGAAGGTAGGAGGAGGAGGAGGAGGAGGAGGAGGAGGAGGAGGAGGAGGAGGAGGAGGAGGAGGAGGAGGAGGAGGAGGAGGGAGGAGGAGGAGGGGGAGGGAGGAGGAGGAGGAGGAGGAGGAGGAGGAGGAGGAGGAGGAGGAGGTGGAGGAGGAGGAGGAGGAGGAGGGAGATGATGATGATGATGATGAGGAGGAGGAGGAGGAGGAGGAGGAGGACGAGGAGGAGGAGGAGGAGGAGGAGGAGGAGGAGTTCGGATATTTTTGCTCATTTCGTCATCTGCGGTTTGGGGGGATTCGGGGGAGCCGACCTCCAGAGGTTTCTAGAGGCCCCCCGGAGGCCTCCAGAGGCCCCCAGAGAGCGGCGGCGACGATCCTCTGGTTGCTTAATCGGCCCCCGCTCACCTCGCAAGCACGTTGCGCTGCTCTCATGCGTGCGACGTCTTGTGGTCAATGTGGTGCTCTCTGGCGCGCGGTCGTGCCCGCAGGCCCCTGTGGTGCGCACAGGGGCGCTTCGGTGCTCGCGCCGGCCGCCCTCCGTGATGTGATCGGGGGGCGAACTCCCACCCCGCTCACGCCCGTTGTCACGAACGAGAGTTCAGAATGCCTCTTGAGGAGGAGGGAGGAGAGGAATTTGCTGGACGAGGAGGAGCCCTTCTCCTCCCTCCTCCTGAGGAGGAGGTGGGGGCGGGAGAGGAGGAGGAGGGGGAGGAGGAGGAGGAGGAGGAGGAGGAGGAGGAGGAGAAGGCGAGAGGAGAACATCACCTCGCCTCCTCCCTCCTCCCTCTTCCTTCGCGGAGGGGGGCCGCCGGAGACGTGCCGTGCAGCGAGCCCCCCAGCGCGCAGGACGGGCCACGAGGACGCGCGGGGCCCCCTCGCGTTCCTGCAGGTCGACAGCGCAGTGGAGGGCGAGGCGATTCCCGGGGGGGCCTCCATGTTGCGGCCACTCGGGCGCGCGTAGATGCCCAGACATTTGGCGTCTCAAATTACCCGGTGCGACCTTACCTAGAAGTTGGAGCCCCTAGGAAACCAGCATTAGTTGCTATGCTATGCCATGCCATGCCATGCCATGCTATGCTGCGCTATGCTATGCTATGCTGTGCTGTGCTGCGCTATGCTATGCTATGCTATGCTATGCTATGCTAAGCTATGCAATGTCATGCTGCGCTGTGCTATGCTAAGCTATGATGTGCTATGCTATGCTAAGCTGCTTTATGATATGCTATTATATGCTATGCTATGCTATGCTATGATATGCTGCGCTATGCTATGCTATGCTATGCTATGCTATGCTTATGCTATGATTGGCTATGCTATGCTATGCTATGCTATGCTATGCTATGCTAATGCAGCGCTGCGCTATGCTGAGCTGAGCTAAGCTCAGCTAAGCTAAGCTAACCCTCTAGGCAGAGCCTAGGTCGGGAATTACACCCATGCTACTGCTATGCTCTGCTCTGCTATGCTATGCTATGCTGCTCTGTGCTATGCTGTGCTGTGCTGTGCTGCGCTATGCTATGCTATTATGTGCTATGCTGCGCTATGCTATGCTATGTTGGGCTATGCTATGATATGTTGTGCTGCGCCATGCTATGCTACGCTATGTTATGCTGTGCTCTGCTATGCTAAAGCTCGGCGAAGCTAAGATGAACGTAAGCTAAGCTAAGGTAAACCTGAGCTAAGATGAAGCTATGCTAAGCTAAGATGAAATAAGCTAAGCTAAGATGAGATAAGCAACGCTAAGCTAAGGGAGCGTCACTGGGGGAACCGCGGGGCGGATCCTGGGGGAACCGCCTGGGGCGTTTTCCACTGCCCGGCCCTTTAAGCCAACACGGTAAGAACCTTCTTTCTAGGCAGAGCCTAGGTACGGAACAGAATCGGCACGGAGGGTTGTCATGGTTTTCGGCCTCTGGGGGCTCTCACCGGGCCTCGGGGCCGTTGAAAATCGAGTCTGAGTGAAAAACTGGTCCTGGGGAAGGTGTCGAGACCTCTGGGGGTCGACGTTATGACAAAGTCATGACGTCGGGTGTCTGGGTGTGGCGGCCGCGCGGGCGTGTGATAGATGGGGGTTGATGACAGGTGCACCGCTCGTGCATCTTTGGGGCCCCAGAGGAGCTGGGGCCCAAAAGGGGCACGAAAGCTGCGCGTGTCTTTCCCTCCCTTCCCCATTGAACGCCCTCTGTTGTACAATTTTCGGCCTCTGGGGGCCTTCCTTGGGCCCCAGGCCCCAGGCCCGTAGAAGAACGGCTCAGGACGAAAAGCCAGTCCTGGGGTTGTCAGTCAAGAATCATGACGTCGGGGGGTTTGGGCGTTGCAGTGTTTTTGACTCCGGGCTTTTCTGCCCAGTTTCGGTCCAGGGGCCATCACATATCGATCTGGCGTGAAGAATGCCGCAGACATGTAGGGTCGAGGGCTCCAGTCGTGATTTCGTACGGTGCTGCATTTTCGCTGCATGTCGGCTCGCAGCGTCCGGCTTCCCTCCATGTCCGGGGGCAGTGGCCATGCGAAGTTGTCGAGGCATCCAGCCGCCGTGGTCGACATTAAAAAAAAAAATGCCGCCTTGATGCATAATGCGTTATTTCTACTTTGTGCATTGTCTCTGGTGCCCATTTTCGAGGTCGGTGGCGAATATATGAGACGTGGCCCGCGCCGAAGGTCCTTGCCTCGTCTTGAGATGCTGGTATCTGATGTGTGATGGCTTCCTGCGTGGACAGAGGTGCTCCTTCTCCTCACTGCTCTTCGCCGTCCTGCCAGCTGATAGTTTCAACGGCCCATATATTCGAAGCGTTTACTCGTGCTGAGTTGCACGCTGGCGCTGGCGCTCGAGAAACAAAAAAAAAATCGTGGCATTGGATCTCATGGACGGTATTTGCACATTTGGTTGTTTGTTTCTTATGTGTTGCTTCTCTCTCTCTCTCTCTCTCTCTCTCTCTACAATTACACAATATGAAAATACTCTCTCACTTCCCCTGATGGCGTCCCGAAGATGGCCGACCCCCCCCCCCGCGTACTGTTTTTGTTACACAGGATTCCCGGGAAACGGGTTTTCGCCTGCGTTTTTTCAAAATGCTGCTCTCGCTAAGGCGCCGGCCTCATTTCTGCTCCCGAATCGTTCCGAATCGTGCTCCCGCTGCAGCGTGGGCCTCATTTTCGGATCGGTGTTTGGCCTCCGTCGTTCAGGATGGCGTTCTCGCCCCAGCGCGGGCCTCTTTCTCGCGCGCCCATCCGCCCGCCACCACCGCGCCGCACCACCACCACCACCACCACCACCACCACCACCACCACCACCACCACCACCACCCACCACCACCAGCACCACCACCACCACCAGCACCACCACCACCCACCACCACCACCACCACCACCACCACCACCACCACCACCACCACCACCACCACCACCACAACCACGCACACACGCACGCACGCACGCACGCACGCGCACCACCACCCACTACGCACGCGCGCGCGCGGAGCCACAGGTCCGCTACGACACGCGTCCGCGGATAGAGAAAATCAGCGCCATGGTAAGGGATGGGAGGGAGGGGTAGGACGTCAGATATGACGCGAGCGCACCTAGCTTGTCCCTCTCCTTCTCCCTCTCATTCTCTGTCTGTCTCTCTCTCTCTCTCTCTCCCTCTTTCTCTCTCTCTCTCTCTTTCTCTCTTTTTCTCTGTCTCTCTCTCTCTCTCTGTCTCCTTGAATATCTCCTCAGAGAATGAGAGAGAGAAAGAGAGAACACAAACAAAAACAACTTATTTAAAGTTCTCGGCGCCATGGCTGGACTCAGATCGAAGAGCTGGCCACGAGGGTGGCTTGGACGCGGGGAGGGGTTGAAGAACCCGCTTTGGGCGGGGCCTGGAGAGAGCGACCGGCGCTCCGGGGGTCCCCTGTGTGACTGACTGTGACCCCAGACGTCAAATCCTTGACGAAGGTCGAGGCCGATCTCTGGTGCGGACCCCTCGAGGGCGGAAGTGCACCGAGAGCCGCCAGCCCTGCCTCATTCTCGCCACTTGTGGGCCTGCTGGGAGGCCCTCGTCGCCCCCGCTGGGTTCGCCCCGCAGTCCTGGTCGGAACGCACCCTGGGAGAGGTCCGAGGGGGTAGCGGTGTCGTCGGGGGCGGCAAGAGGGGGTGACAACATGGCGGGGGCCAGGAGATCTCCCCAGATTTCACGGCGCCTCCTCTTATTTCGGTGCGTCCCTGGCCCCTGTTGTTCTTCCCGTGCCGCTCTCTGACGGCACCGGGGGCCCAGGGAGGGAGAGCCATTCGGGGCCCCGAGAAGGAGGACCAAACCTCGGGACCCTTCTCGTCCAGGACCCTTGCCCCAGGGCCAAGATCCACCCAACATCAATCCTGGGGACCTGTCCTGGGGTCGATCGAGGCCACTCATTCCAGCCGCAGCCAGCTGTTGCGACGCGAAGCTTCAGAAGCGCCCGAGGGCCTCCGAATCGACGACAGCTATGTTATTTCGGGGTCGCTCTCCCCCAGGACGCAGTGTCTGGAGGCCCTGGCGAATCCGACCATGGCCGTCTCATGTGCTTTTCTTTCCCCGCGAAACGCCACGGGTAGCACAACCACATCGCGAATCAAAAGGTCGCTAGGCAAACCGGGAACACCGCACGAGCCGACCTGCAACAGGCAAATCCATGCTGTGAGCCGTGGCCTGAAGAGATGGCCATCTCGTGCGCTCCGGCCAGAGACCGACGGGAATCCAACCGTGGCGAGCCGACCTGCAACAGGCAAATCCATGCTGTGAGCCGTGGCCTGAACAAATGGTTCTTTTTGGTTCCCCCAGTCTCGCCTTAAGTCGGGCCTGTCCCTCTACAGGGAGAAGATCCCAAAAATAGTCAAAAATTAAGATGGGGGCGATGTTCTGACTATTTTTGAGCATTTGGGATATATTGTTGGACTATGTTTAATTTTTCGCCCAAAATCGCCCTGTAGGGAGACAGGCCCGACCTAACCCTTTTGGACGCCCCCGATATCGTTTCTTCTGGTTCCCCCAGTCTCGCCCCCCTGGGGGCCTTCCTCATCGGGCCCCACGGAGCCGGCGGCAGACGCAGCTGGCCACATGAGCGGCGGGCCCTGCAGGAGAGAGCGGCGGGCGTCGGGGCTGCGTTTGAGGTTTGAGTCGAGATTGCCATGGAGGCGTGGGCGGGAGGGCGGGTCGCGCCTGCCTGGGACCGGGGCGAAGGGTTCCAGAGCGCCTCGGGGCTCAAGAGACGGGGGCGTCGATGCAAACGGGGGTCAGTCAGAGCGCCAGATCTTGCAGGCTCCTGCATGGCCAGATCGTGCGGGAGCCTGCAGTATCCTGCAGGATCTTGCAGGATCCTCAGAAAGGCCTGACTGACTCGGGTTTGGATCGACGTGGGTCAGTGGCTCCCCGAGCGTCCCAGGTCGCTCTCAGAGCGCCCCCAGGCGCTCTGGAACGGCCACGGCGCCCGATAACGACATCCTCCAGAACCTGCCGGATCTCAGGGGTCCCCGAGGTAGCCCGATCCGATGTTGTCCCGCTCCTGGCCTCGTCGTAGGGGAGGGGAGGGGAGAGCTGGTCGCTGCAAGAGGCCACGAAGCGCTCGCCTGCCGAGTCGGTGGCCTTGAAGGAGGCGCGGAGGATCGAGCGCGAGACCAGGGAGGAGGCCAAGAGGGAGCGTGATGCCAAGCGTGCGGAGCGGAACGCCCAGAGGAATCGAAGAACGAAGAGCGGTGTAGGCATCGTGTCTCGGAGTTTCGCGCGGATTTCTTGGATCGGCGCCGGAGAGCCCCCCTTGCGGCGCTGCCGCGCCGACCGGCGCCGACCTCGGCGCTCTCCGCGCGCCAGGAAGGGGGGTCCGGCGCCGATCCCAGAAATGCGCGTGGACCTCCGAGAAATAATGCGAACACTGCGTTTTGCTCTTCTGAGGAAGGCCGAGCGCGAGGCCAGGGAGAGGGCCGACGCCGCCCAGCAGGCCCAGCGCGAGGCCGATCTGCAGGCCCAGCAGGAGGCCGAGGACGCCGCCGAGCGCGCGCTGCTGGCCGAGTTCGAGGCCAAGAAGAAGACCGCTTCGGCACTCCAGGAGAAGTCGGAGGCCGGGGTTGAGCCCACCAAGGGCGAGGCCACCGAGACGGCCGCCGCAGCCAGGGCGGCGCAGGCGGGCGCCGAGGGCGTGGCGGCGCAGGACGAGAAGAATGAGGACCTCGAGGCCGAAGACGCCGCCGAGGATGCAGCCGAGCGCGCTTTGTTGGCCGAGTTCGAGGCAAAGAAGAAGGCCTCGCCACCGCTCCAGGAGGCGTCGGAGGCCACGGCCAAGCCCACCAGGGCGGGGGGCAACACAGAGACGGCTAACGCCGCCGAAAAGGTGGAGCCGAGGGCCGAGAAGGCGGAGTCGCAGGGCAAGGCCGAAGACGACGCGGAGGCCCAAGAGGGCGCCGAGGACGAGGCCGAGCGCGCACTGTTGGCCGAGTCCGCGGCCAAGAAGGTGGCCGCGCCCGCCCCGCAGGCGACGAACGCCGCCCAGGCACAGGCACCGGAGGGTCTCGAGGCCGAGTTCGCGGAGGCCGAGCGCGAACTCCAGGAGAAGACCCGGCGGTCCAAGGCGCAGGCCGAGGCTGAGGGGTGGAGGGCCACCAACGCCGAGCTGGAGGCCACCTGAGAGGAGTGAGGAGGAAGAGGAGGCGGAGGATGAGAAGGAGGATGATGAGGGGGGTGAGGATGTGAGGATGAGGCAGCGGAGGGAGGAGAAGAGGAGGAGGAAGAGGAGGATAATGAGGAGGAGGAGGAGGAGGAGGAGGAGGAGGAGAAGGAGGAGGAGCAGGAGGAGCGAGGAGGAGGAGGAGGAGGAGGAGGAGGAGGAGCAGGAGCAGGAGCAGGAGGAGGTGGAGGAGGTGGATGAGGAGGAGGAGGAGGAGGAGGAGGAGGAGGAGGAGGAGGAGGAGGGGGAGGAAGACAAGCTAGGTGCGCTCGCGTCAACATCTGACATCCTACCCCTCCCTCCCATCCCTTCCCATTGAGCTACTTCATTGTCCTCTCACCGAATCGGGCTTCGCATCTGACCCTGTTACCTAAGAGGGAAAAGAGGAGGACGACGGCGCGATGAAAACGAAGACGACGACGAAGACGACGACGACGACGACAACCACGACGACGACGACGACGGCGGCGACGACGACGACGACGACGACGACGAGGACGACCGGCGACGAAGACGACGACGACGACGACGCGACCGCGCCGGAGCGGCACCCGCGCCAGCTGCCCGCTGCCGTTACGCGCGTCCCCCACCCGGATCTCAAATTTCTGCAGGGGTGAAAGGAGAGTAGCATTCATATTGGGTAATGGTAGAGTGGGTCCGATGAAAGGAGAGTAGCATTCTGCAGCGGGAGCAACATTCTGAAGGACCGGAAAGACTCGGATTTTCAAAAACATAGATGAAAACCAAACTCCCGGGAATCCTGTGCGGAAAAGGACGCCGCCCAAAAGGGGGGGGGGCTTTCTGCGGCCCCAAAAATCAACGAATCGACACCGGATGTGTAATCACCTCCAATGTTTTTGCCGGGGATCATTTTCTAGATTTGGGGCTTCTTAAAAAGGATCGAAAACGTCGGCGCTGCAGCGGGAGCACGTTTTGGAACAACGAGAGGCGCAGAAATTGGGCCAGCGCTGCAGCGGGAGCACGATTCGGAACGAGCGGGAGCGCGGAAATGAGGCCAGCGCTGCAGCGGGAACACGATTCGGAAGGAGCGGGAGCCCGAAAATTAGGCCAGCGCCTCAGCGAGAGCAGCATTTTAGAAAAAAACACAAGCGAAAACCCAACTCCGGGGAATCCTGTGTGTAAAAAAACAGTACGCGGGGGGGTGCCGAACATCTTCCGGACGCCATCAGGGGAAGTGGGAGAGTAGTATTCATATTGTGTAATTGTGGAGGAGGAGGAGGAGGAGGAGGAGGAGGGGGAGGCGCAGGAGGAGGAGGAGGAGGAGGAGGAAGGAGGAGGGAGGAGGAGGAGGAGGAGGAGGAGGAGGAGGAGGAGGGGGAGAGGGGAGGAGGAGGAGAAGGAGGAGGATGAGGAGGAGGAAACTAGGGAGGAGGAGGATGAAGAAACTGAGGAGAGGATGAGGAGAAGGAGGGGGGAGGCCGAACAGCGCGCAGGGGCCACGAGGATGGCCGCGCCCCTCGCGTGCAGAGCCGCAGGGCCGCCCTTGTCCAGGGGGATTTTCCCGGCGCGAGGGCGCAAAGGTCACCGCGCGGCGCGAGTCGTGGAGTTTCGTGACCTACAGACCAGGACGACGTCAGGATGATAAGATCATGGGGGGGAACGCATTGGGCCAGGTGTTCGGGCGAGTTTTTCGGGCATGCTCGTAGGTTCAGGGCGTTTTGTTCAAGCCTCGGGACGCGTTCGAGCGGCTGCGCCTCGCCGAGAGCGTTCTGGGGGTGCCTGGGTCGTCCCCAACGGCGGCCGGAGAGCCGAGTTACGACTCGAAAGCCAAGCGGCAGCGTCAAGGGGGGATAGGCTCAGGGAGGGGTACGTCGACCCCTGATCGCCCATTCATCGCCGACAGGGGCACGACAGTCCTTCCCGCCCTGGGACGTCCTGTTTCGCTATCGGGGGCCCATTGCCGATCTATCGGCGATATACCGCGATGTCCCACGCGCTGTCCCCCGGGAAAGGGGTCGGGAACTCCTCGGGGTCGCGGCTAGCACACGTCATCCTGAAGGATGTCTGGGTTTGCATCCTCGTAGCAAGCTTTTGGCTGGGTGCGCCGCGCCGTTGCCCAGGCTCCCCTCCGGACGAAGAGGAGGAGGAGGAGGAGGAGGAGGAGGAGGAGGAGGAGGAGGAGGAGGAGGAGGAGGAGGAGAGGTCCGCTGACCCTCTCGAGTTGCGCACCCTGGCTCCTGGTCCTCTATTCTCGCGGTCGCTCGCGCTCCGGCTCGGGCTTCCGCCTCCACCCCTGAGCCTCTGCTCCTGTTCCCGCTCCTCCCATCGTTCCGGCTCCTAGCTGCGCCACCGTCGAACAGGCGAGATGACGGGCACACAGCAGTGGCGGCTACCTTCGGAGAGCTAGTCAAGTACTGGCGCGAGTGGAGCCCCAACTGATACTGACGTGCCTCGGTCCCTTCGAGGAAAAGACCAAACGGCACAAGCATACGGTCAAGTTCTTTTGGTTCCGCGTGTCGTTCCGCCGCTTCCGGCCCACCGCGCTTCGGCGCGACGCGCTGCCCACGCCCCATAGTCCCCGAGCATCCACGTCCCGAGCCTTTCCGAGCCTCCCGCTCCGCGAAGCGGAACGACTCGCTGTCCGCTCGCCAGGCATGGCGTGTCGCCAGGGCCGCCGCGGCGACGAGCCGAGAGCAGCTCCCGACCGTGACCCTGCCCCGGAGCTCCGCGCGGATGTCTAGGGCCCTCGCCGGCAGCCCCCTGGCGGCCCCTGGCGCCGCCCTCGGCGACCTCCGCGAGCCAGGGAGGGGGGGGTCCGCGCCGATGCAGGGCATCCGCGCAGAGCTGCGGGTGGCCATGTGTCGTCGACTTTTCTGTGCCCCGACTGCCATGAGAGGGAGGGCGGGAACGGGCGGGGCCCACTGCCTCACACCTGGCCAGCTTTGCTCCTATCTCCCGTCCCTGCTGCTGCTGCTGCTGCTGCTGCTGCTGCTGCTGCTGCTGCTGCTGCTGCTGCTGCCGCGGCCACTCCTCACTGCCCTTGGCATCGCTCGGACGTGTGCTGCTCGTTTTCGGCCAGGCCTTCGAGGAGCATCTTGCACCACCCTGCGAACAAGTAAGCGCACGCGACCGAGCAATGCACGGGGAATGGACGTCCGGGCGATGGCAAGTGCCAGGTAATCACTGCGTGCTGCTGCCGGCCACTCCGTGGCCGCCAGGTATTCGTTGTGCTGCTGCATGCTGCCGCTCCTCTCCGCCCTTTTTGCCGCCGCTCCTCCACTCCCCTGGGGCGCGGCTTCCGAGGCCGCCGAGGCGGACTCCGAGATCCAGGCCGGGGCCGAGCATAAACTCCCAGTCCCCCTGGCCTGCCTTTACAGTGATGGATAGGGGAGCAAACAACGCTATACCCTCGGAGTTCCGCTATACCCGGATCGGCGCTGGAGCCCTCCCTGCGGCGCCTCCGGCGCCGCCCCTGGCGCGCTCCATGCGCGCCGGTCCATCTGGTGACCCAGCGCTTGTCTGCCCACCCGTGCGGCTCGTAGCTCCAGTCGGCGGGGACAATCCACGGGTCGCACAGCGTGTCGACTAACGTGGCGATCGACACGAGGAGGAGGAGGAGGAGGAGGAGGAGGAGGAGGAGGAGGAGGAGGAGGAGGAGGAGGAGGCGGAGGAGGAGGAGGAGGAGGGAGGAGGAGGGGAGGAGGAGGAGAGGAGGAGGAGGAGGAAGGAGGAGGAAGGAGGAGGATGAGAGGAGGAGGAGGGGAGGAGGAGGAGAGGGAGGGGAGGAGGGAGAGAGGAGGAGGAGGAGGAGGAGGAGGAGGAGGAGGAGGAGGAGGAGGAGAGGACGAGGAGGAGGATGAGGGGGAGGAGAGGAAGGAGGAGAGGGAGGAGAGGAGGAGGGGGGGGGGGAAAAGAAGGAGGAAGAGGAGGAGGAGAAGGAGGAGGAGGAGGAGGAGGAGTAGGAGTAGGAGGAGGAGGAGGAGAAGGAGGACCCCCCCCCAGGACCTCCTCCCTGCGGGGCCACGCAAAACGCCCGAACTACAACCAGAAATCTCCACGACTCGATTCTATCCCCCTCTTCGATCTCACGATGCCCACTTTGCATCGCGTTCCCTTCAGTAGGGGAGCAAAGGAACAACAAGGCGCGGGGGGATTGGACGGCACCCGAAAGCCTCCTATGACCCCTGGGGGGCCTCGGAATGGCCCCGATGACCACCGAGCAGTTCCAGAGGCTCCGAAAACCTGCGGGAGCGCAGGCGGGAGCCGTTGTTAGCGCGGGCCGCGACGGGCGCGAACGAGCGGGGGCCCCGAAGGGCATGCGTATAGGGGGCCGCAGAGGGCAGCGACGGATCCGCTGAGGGCAGAAACGGGGCCACGAAGGGCAGACAGGGGGCCGCGAAGAGCGACGGCGGGGCCACGAAGGGCATGCACATGAGGCCGCGACGGGCGCGAACGAGCGGGGGCCACGAAGGGCATACATATATGGGGCCAGAAAAGGGCGACAGCGGGGCCACTGAGCGCAGAAAGTGGGCCACGAAGGGCAGCGAGGGGGCCGCGAATGGCGACAGCAGGGCGACGAAACGCATGCGTATGGGACCACGAAGGGCGCGAGCGAGCGGGGGCCACGAAGAGCAATTAATCAGGGGCCACAGAGGGCAGCGACGGGGCCGCTGAGGGCAGAAACGGGGCCACGAAGGGCAGAATGGGGGCCGCGAAGGGCGACAGCGGGGCCACGAAGGGCATGCATATGGGGCCACGACGGTCGCGAACGCGCGGGGGCCGCGAAGGGCATTCGTATATGGGGCCACAAAGGGCGACCGCGGGGCCATTGAGGGCAGCAAAGGGGCCACGAAGGGCAGCGAGAGGGCCACGAAGGGCGACAGCGGGGCTACGAAGGGCATGCGTATGGGGCCACGACGGGCGACTGCGAGCGGGGGCTTCGAAGGGCACATAATGCGGGGCCACAATGGGCAGCGACGGGGCCGCTGAAGGCAGCAACGGGGCCACGAAGGGCAGCGAGCGAAGGCGACCGCGGAACCAGTGCGGGCAGCGAGGGGCATCGAAGGCGGGCGAAGGGCAGCGAGCGGCGACTGCAGTCCCTAATGGGCTGGTCGGGCGGGCAGGGGTCGAGCGGGCAGGTCGTTGAAGCGTACGTTTTGCTTGGCCCGCCAGGCAATATGCAACGGGAGCACGATTCCTGCGTGTCGAGGAACGGCATCTGAATAAATTGTGAGGAAGTATCAAGCGGGAGCCGCGATTTGGTGGTAAGTTGCGAGGAAGTCCCAAGCGAGAGCGCGATCCTTCAATAAATTGTCAAGAAGTATCAAGCGGGAGCCGCGATCCGCTGGTAAATTGCAAGGACGTCCCAAGCGAGAGCGCGATTCTTCGATAAATTGTGAGGAAGTATCAGGCGGGAGCCGTTGTTGTTGCTGTTGTTGTTGAAGATTATTACTTCTAAAGAATAAGTATTGTTGGGACCCCTGGTGCGCGACCCCCCCGCCGCGCCTAGGCCGCAGCCTCATTTTCATCATTTTCGTGAGGAAGTCTCAGGCAAAACGGGTTGGTCCGGATCCGGTTGTGTTGTTACGATCGGTTTTCCCTTGCAAAAAATAAGCTAAAGTGGACATTTCTTGTTCTAACATAACCAAACTTCAAGAATCCCTTGCAAAAAACAAGGTAAAGTGGACATTCGCGCGCGCAAGACGAAATCCTTCCAAAACCTTAGTTTTCGTAGCGATTTTAACATAAAAACATCAAAAAACCAATGGTTTTCCAAAAAAAAATGTCAAAATTTCATCCCGCGCGCTCTTGCGGATTCGTAGGAAACCCAACACTTTTTAATCATTTCTGTCAAACGGGCTTTTGCGAGCAACTTTTTCGAACTTCTGCAACAACGGTTGCGCACCTGCCAGGGCCATCATCCCTGTCAAATAATACCATGCGGGACACATTCGTTTTTTCTTCGCGCGCGCACGCCGTCGTCGTCGGCCGCGGGGCCCTGAATAGTAGCCACGGTCGTCCGCATGCCACGAAGTGAAGTGTCCGAACGTCATAGGGCGGGAAGCTGGGTGTGGGTGGTGGCGAAGAGTCGTTTGGAAATTTGGTAGAGCTTGAACCGGCCCCCCCACAAAGTGGGGGTATTGCCCGCCTCCTATGAAAACCCTGGCACTGGTGAGAACGGTGTGTCCCCACGTGCTAGTAATTGTTGTTGTTGTTGTTGTTGTTGTTGTTGTTGTTGTTGTTGTTGTTGTGAACCAGGGGCCAACGACACAGTACGACCTTCAAAATTTTCCCTGATTAAAAAAGGGTACGAGCCCCGGAAGGGCACTTCAATCGAAAAAACAATGTGCACCGGACGGGGGGGATCAACAATATTTTTCAGAAATGAAGGTTCAACCACAACAATCATTTTAAGGCTGTTCGCCCTTACCTGCTCGAGTGTCCAATAACGCGTATTTCCGAAACCCTCGATACCCGCCCTCACCGTCTTTGATCGATTTCTTCTTGGGGGGTATACCTTTCTTCCCTGCACGCGGGGCCCGGGCAAGCGGCGGGGCGGCCGCGGACCGTCGCCCTGGCCAGCGGCAGCGCTGATCGGCGGGGCGACCGCGGACCGTCGAGCCGACCCCAAGAGGGACGGACAGGGGACCGACGACGACGTCGACGACGACGTGCGAAAGCGAAAGCGAGAGCGAGAGAGAACGACAGCAGGGCCACAATGACACGAAGTATGCCACGAAGGGCGACAGCGGGGACACGAAGGGAATGCGTACGGGGCCACGGAAAGCGCGAACGAGCAGGGGCCACGAAGGGCAGATAATGCGGGGCCACAGAAGGCAACGATGGGGCCACTGAGGGTAGCAACTGGGCCACGTAGGATAATCTGGGTGCCACAAACGGCGACACCGGGCCCACGAAGGGCATTCACATGGGGCCACAACGGGCGCGAACGAGCGGGGGCCACGAAGGGCATGCGTATACTGGGCCGCGGAGGGCCAAGACGGGACCACTGAGGGCAGCAACGGGGCCACGAAGGGCAGCGATGGGTGCCACGAAGGGCGACAGCGGGGCCACGAAGGGCATGCATATGGGGCCACCACGGGCGCGAACGAGCGGGGGCCACGAAGGGCATGCATATATGGGGCCACGAAACGGCAGCGACGGGGCCACGAAGGGATGCAACGGGGCCACGAAGGGCAGCGAGGGGGCCACGAACGGCTGCAAAGTGGCCACGACGGGTTGCGACGGGGCCACGAAAGGACGAGGGGGCCACGAAGGGCTACAACGGGGCCACGAAACAAAGCGAGGGGGCCACGAAGGGCTGCAACGGGGCCACGAAGGGCAGCGAGGAGGCCACGAGGGGCCGCAACGGGGCCACGAAGGGCAGCGCCACGAAGGGTTGCAACGGGGCCACGAATGGCAGCGAGATCCCGATTCCCACGTAATATGTGAGGGAGGCTCACGCGACGCCTGGGTGCCTGGGTGTCGGGAGCGCGGCGCCCGAGTAAATCTCACGCAATTCCAACTCAAAGGCGCTATTCTTCAGTAAATTGCAAGCAAGTTTCCAGCGAGAGCGCGACTCCACAGCGCCGGGAGAGCGATTCCTTGTAAGGAAGTCCACGCGAGAACGCGATTCCTTCATACAATGCGAGGAAGTCTCGGGCGGGAACAGGGGTCCTGGCTAAATTTTGGGGAAGTCTCAGGTGGGAGCCGTTGTTGTTGTACTCCAGGGGCCAGGGGTCCAGTTTGAGCTTCAAAATTTTCCCTAATAAAACAGGGTGCGAGCGTCGAGGGGCACACTTTGATTCAGAAAGAAACAGTATGCACCAGTAGGGGGATCAACAATAAGTATTCCTCAGAAATGAGAGCTCAAGAACAACAACACCAACAACAGCAGCAACAGCAACAACACCAACGCAACGACAATCCGCACCGCGGAGCCCCATGTCAGCCACGCGACCCGGGACAATCAATGACCATTCAGCCCCTCGCTCTGACGCGCCCATCAGGACGAACCGCAATCTCGACTGGAATTGAGATGCAATGGTCCCTGGTGCTGTCGTTTGCCCTCCTGGAAGGCCAGGGTTGTTGACTCCAGCGTCGAGCCCTGGACCTGCCACCCGGGGTGCGCCTGGGCCTACGGCTTAGAAACACTCGAGGGATGGGGCGGGCAGGCCGTGGCCGCGAGAGCGCCCTGCAGCAGGCCCCATGTGAGGCTCTGGAGGCGCCCTATAGCGCCTCGGCCCTCGAGTTCTCGATTCCTCGAGGAGGAGGAGGAGGAGGAGGAGGAGGAGGAGGAGGAGGAGGAGGAGGAGGAGGAGGAGGAGATCCTCCACTTCAGACGACGCCTCGCCCCGAGGGGAGTTCTGCGCCCTTGGACCCGCTTTGGGAAGCCCCCGGGGCCCAGCAGTGGCCCCCAGCGGCCGGTCTACGCGGCAAGGAGTGACCTTCCGCTGGAGCGACCTTCAACGCGGGCCCACACTGGGGTGCCCTTGCAGCACTGGCCTGCGCGCGTGGATCTGGCTTTCCCTCGGCCCAACGAGGCCGCGCCACAAAAGGCCGCTCTTGCCCAATTGAGGTCGCTCTCTTGCGTGCAGCCGAAGGGGGCGAAAAGCAGGGCGATTGACCAAAACACGTGTCGACTGAAGTCTGGGGTTCAGATTGTTTCAGGGTTAGTTATACCACTCGGGTCTCTGGAGGCCGTCCAGGACGACCGAGGGCAACCCTGGACGCCTCTCGACGAGGCGCAGCCGCTAAAAAGCATCCAGAAGCTGTGAAGCCCCGGGAACCAGCGAGACCGACCAGTGCATCCGAGAAATGCCTGGGGCGGAACAAGGGCGCTGTCGGATTGGTAAACCCTTCGGTTGCGCACAGACAGCCTTCCCGGGAAGTCCCCGCTGGACCCAACAGGCTCCCGAAGTAGTCCCGGCTCCCCTCGACAGGCCCCCCGAGTAGACCGCTCCAGGGGCGCCGCCGGAGGCGGCGCCAGATGCTCGGACCGCATGCCGGGCTACTCGGGGGGGCCTGTCATTGAGACCGCACTGGGATCCTCGGGGGGGCCTGTTGACACAAGCTGGGCCGGAATCCTCGCGCGCAACCTATGATTTCTTTCTTGTCGGAAGCCTGGGGTCGTCGGCTCAGGCGGCGGGCCGGGCCGAGAAGGCGGCTGCCGCCAGGGCCGGGGCGGCCGGCGCCAGCGCGGGTGCGGCGGAGGATGCCGCCGGGCTGGACTGGCAGAGGGAGGCGCAGCGCCTGGAGACGGGGCCGGCAGCAAGCAGGGGCACTGGTCGGGGGAGGGGGGCGCATCGGCTCGAGGTGTGAGGTTCGAGGTTGGGTTTTCGGGCGGCTTCGTGGGTTCTCGGCCGGTTTCCAGCCGCGGGGTGCACTTTCCAGCAAGTGCACCTCGCCGAGGGCGTTCCGGGGCTGCCCCGATCGTCCTGCATGGCCGCTGGGGAGCCGAGTCATGGCCCGAAGAGCAGCGACGGGGAAGGGGGGAACAGCGCTCCATGCGGCAACCGATTTATCATTCTTCCTCCCTCGACATTGTGACCCCCAGCTGGCGTTTCAGCATTTGCTGCCTGCTATGATTCGGGTGATGTCGAGAGACGCCGCTCAGGAGATCTTGGGCCGCTCAATCATGTAGCATCCCTGGCCCCACGGGCGTTTCTCAACCATCCTGTGGTGTTGTGTCCTTGTTGTGAAGAGAGGTCCCCGCGACTCCGCCTCCTCCTCCTCCTCCTCCTCCTCCTGCTCCTCCTCCCCCACCTCCCTCCTGCCGTTCCCCCCCCTCACTTTGGCACACCACACACAAGTTTCGTGGCCCCACAGGGAGGTCCAACGAGGGCCCAGATGCCAGCGTTCGCATGCGGCCACCGCACCCATTTTGGCACACCCTCACACTTTTCTTATCTTTTTATAGGAGCTCCACCGAGGGCCCAAATGCTAGTACTCGCATGCGACAGCCAGACCCATTTTGGCACACCCCTCAAACGTTTCGTTACCCCATAGGGAGTCCCACCAAAGGCCCAGATGCCAGCGCTCGCATGTGGCCACCGCATTCATGTTGGCACACCCTCAAACGTTTCGTGGTCCCATAGGGAGCTCCACCGAAGTCCCAGATGCCAGCGCTCGCATGCGGCCACCGCGCCCATTTTGGTACACACCTCACACGTTTCTTTGCCCCATTGGGAGCTCTACCGAAGGCCCAGATGCCAGCGCTCGCATGCACACCCTCATACGTTTCGTAGCCTTATAAGGAGCTCCATGCTCCACCGAAGGCCCCAGACGCCAGCGTTCGCATGCGGCGACCGCACCCATTTAGGCACACGCTTCACACGTCTCGTGGGCCCATAGGGAGCTCCACCGAATGCGGTGCATACAACGACGGTGCCCACAACTGCATATGATTGGGCCCTTCGGCAGGCTAACTTTATTTTGCAAACTGTAGAAGATGGTTTTCACATTTGGCTCAGAGGGGGATGCATCCACCGCCAGTTGCCCATCGATCGCCGAGAGAGGCCCGACAGCGCACCCCGCCCAGACCCGTGCGGTTTCGCAATCGAGAGCCTATCGCAGATCGATCGTCGATGGTTCCAGGTCGATGCTTCCCTTCCTCGTGTGGCCCCCCGGGGAACAAAAAACACAGTATACACACACACACACGCTGTGGGACAACAAAAACACACACTGTGGGAAACAAAGCACACACACACACACGCACTGTGGGAAAAAAAACACATTGTGGGAACAAACACACACACACACTGTGGGAAAACACACACACACACACTGTGGGAAAAAACACACACACACACACTGTGTGTGTGTGTTTTCCCATACACTGTATGTGTTTTTGTCCCACGAACGCTCCCCCTCAAACAAGTTCGCGGCGCGCGCCCGGACCTCTGACCAGTGTCAGGGTGAGGGGGCGGAGCGGTCATTCGCTGTCCCTGGGCACGTGGCTGAAGCGAGGGTCCGCAGTGCGGGCCGTGCTTGTTGGACGGGGCGTATGTGATAGGCCCCGGGGAACCCCAGCAAGCCCAGCAGCTCCGGCAGACCCCCCGGGGGAGGCCGTCGGCCCCCGGCCCTGGGGGCAGCTTGGCCCAGCAACGGGGTCAGATCTCAACCGGACGGTCCAGATCCCAGCCCGACGGTCCAGATCCCAACCAGTAAGAAAACCGTAACGGTCCAGATCCCGACCACCAGACAAAGCTATGTGAGGATTTGTTCTTGCAAGGTCGTCTTGGCCGTGAAAACCGGGTGGTACCCCGTGAGGAAATTCATTCGGTGCTCACAGTGCGCAGTTGGGATCTAGACCGTTCCACTGCGTTACTATGTGCGAGTGCTCAGTTCTCCAGAAGAGCCGTGTATGGGCTTAAGGCACTCCAAGACGGCACTGTATATGAACGCTTACCAAGCGCATACGAAATTTGTAGCAAGCGTATACGAAACGCATCGGACGCGTATCCGGAAGTTAGCAGAATCGCATTCGATACGTATGCCAACCGCACACAAAACGTATACACGACGTCTATCACACGTACATCCTTTGTCTTTGAAAACGCATTTGAAACGGCTACATCACGCACGTGCGACTTGCGTGTGCATGACACGCACATGGAACACATTCGACACGCAAGTGAAACGAATGAGACCTGAATCCGACAGGCATGACCACATCTTGTCAGGAGGCCCTTAGGAATCCCTTCAATAATCCGCAGGAGTCTTCAGAAATCCTTCAAGAAATCCTTCAAGTGTCACTGAGCAATCCGCATACGTCCTTGAGGGATCCTTCAGGAATCCTCCGAGGGCCCCAAGACGGCCGAAGAGGTCTCCAAGATGCCCAAGATGGCTCCAAGACAGCCCTGGAGCACCCCAAGAGGGCCCCACGTCGACCCAGAGAGGCCCCACCAGACGGCTTCCGACGGCGTCGGACGGGCCAGGAATGCTTTAGGACGGCAAAAGGCTCCCAAGAAGCTCCCAGGAGGCCCCAAGAGTGCCCCCAGAGGCTCCCAAGATGCCCCCTCCTCCTCCTCCTCCTCCTCCTCCTCCTCCTCCTCCTCCTCCTCCTCCTCCTCCTGATCTTCCCCGCCATCCTCCCCCACGTGTTCCCCGAAGGGTTTCCACAGCGGCTGGTTTGAAGACATGGCCCTACTGCTTGGCAGAGCTCTTGCCACAACGCTCGGCCACGCGGGCGATTCCAAAAGGCAGGGATCGGCGGTGATTCGCCGTTGGCGTCTTCGATTTCTTGGCATCGCTCGGACGTGTGCATTTTCTCTTGGCGAGGACCATCGAGGAGCATCTTCGATCATTTGGCGAAAAAAACACGCACGACATCGAAAAAGGCACGGGGAATGGACGTCCGAGCGATGGCGAGATTCGGAGTGATCTTGCTGAGCCCTCCGACTTCGGAGGGGGCCCGCTGGCGCAGCTCTCGGCGCTCGGCCCTCCGAGGGCCGAGGCCGCCAGTCCCACCGCGGGCCGCTCGGCCCGGCCCCTTTTGCGCCGCGGCCGCCCGCGGGCCGCTGCGGAGCGAGCTGGAGCAGCTCGCCTCCTCCTCCTCCTCCTCCTCCTCCTCCTCCTCCTCCTTTTCCTCCTCCTCCTCCTCCTTTTCCTCCTCCTCCTCCTCCTCCTCCTCCTCCTCCTCCTCCTCCTCCTCATCCCCTGAGGATGAGGAGGGGAGGAACATGAGGAGGAGCAGGAGGAGGAGCAGGAGGAGGAGGGTATTTTCCGGTCGCTCTGGTGCTTTCCCCACCGACCTGGGTCAGGGGCCTCGGCTCGCAGGTCGCGTGGGGGACCCCTCTCACACGCCAATCCCGGTGGACTCCCGCTGCAAAGGTCAGTGGGTGCCGGGACTGCGGACGTGGAGGAGGAGGGTCGGTAGCCGTTGTGGTTCAAGACTAGACGTTGTGAAAAGTTGTAGACGCCCGAGAAGAAGCAGCGATTAGTCTTCGGCCCATCCGTAGGCTTTTTTCAAGCGTTCGGGCCGTTTGCACAGGGCAGATTCATGTCACGATCCTCACGTGAACCTTCGTGCGCCGTGGGTTGTTTTCGCTCAGCTGTCTCTTTGGGTGCGACGACCTCGTAACCGCGAGTGGTGACTAGCAGTGGACGAGATCGGGCGGTGGCCAGGGAAGCAGCGCCTACCTCCCCATCTCAGGAAGTTCCTGGCACGACCGAACGCCCAGCCTGGTGGAGCGGACGACCCCTTCCAGGACTGCCAGTCGGACGTCGATCTCAAGCAGTGCATCAAACAGGTCAAGGACGCCGTCAACGCATACCTCGTCACGATTCGGGAGTCTGTCAACAACACCCTCGCCACCACGTCGAAACGCGTCGCCGAGACTTGCAAAAACCTGGGATATTAGGTGGGGCAGCGACTTGCCCCGCTTGAGCACACTGTCCGGGGCCACGGTCGTCAGCTGGATAATGTATTCGAGGAGATCGAGATGCTCAAGACCGACACGGGCGTCGCCAATTCTGCGACCTAGGCTCCTCCGCAGTCTTCGGCGGGCTCTAATGCCGACCGAAACATCGATTCGACCGTCATCGTAGTGCGCTGCGCGAACATGGTATCACGAGCTGCTGTTCGAGTTTGTTTTTTTATTGCTCGGACCCGTAACGGTAACGAGCGTACGGGGACGGGGGTGCGGACCCCCCTTCCGTCGTCCAGGCAGGCATGCTGTGACGCTCACATGTGTGCTCACAAGCATTCTGTCTCGTTCACAGGCGTGGCGCGGTGCTCTCACGGACGCAGTGGTGCCCTGTTGCTGAGAGGCGTTGGTGCGGCGGTCGGATTGCGGCGCTCGTAGCTCCCAGAGACGTGGTGTGTACAGGCCGCACGCGGGCGTTATGTTATACGTGAATGTTGCGGTGTTCACAGTTGCCGTGGTGTGCACAGGCGCTGCGGGCCCTGATGCACGGGGCCGTGCCCAGGACAATAAAAAACAACATTCACAAACAAATTACAAATTGAATTTGATTGGGTGGGGATGGGATATGAAGGAGGGGAATGAGGATTTCTCACAGCTTTGGCGCCCTTCTCGCGAAGGGTGGCGGGAATTGCACCCTCTTCGCCGGTCGTCGCCACAGCCGCAGCGGCGGCGACCTCAGCGCGGGCGTTCGAGGTTGAATGCTGCTAGGGGGCCACATTCGGGCCTGGGAGGCTCCCTTGAAGCAGTGCCGGTCCACGAGGGCTGTCCGTGCGGTCCGAAACCCGTCTCTTGTGGGACCTGTTTGCTTCATGGGCGACCTCC